TATAAACGATTATTTCCACCCATCTGTTTAATGTCCTGGATACGAAACACGCTATGCATCGAAAACAAGACTTCCTCTTCTCCTTGGAAGTCACTAATACCAGCAATGGAGGCAAACGGTGTTGTTGATTGAGCAGGATTAATTTTCATGATAAAAAGAGCTCCTACTTGATCTCGATGAATTGTAGCATCTTGAGCAAAACCCAGTGATATATTGCAATTTTTGCTAGTGGATAAGAAATTATTGAATGAAATAAGACCACCTTTAAGTTTGCTCATTTTTTCAAAATCATCTGTAGATAAACCTTGACCACGATAAACGGTGAAGGTGTCTACAGCAGTTGTACCAGCATATTGTTCTTTGTGTAGTTGTTCAATCTGTCGATGGAGATCACCAATGAAGAAGCCCATATGTGTAATGATGTCACCGTTCATCAATCGTAATGCACGATTGAGCATGGGATACAAGAACATTTGACAGCTGTACCAATAAATGGGTGTTTTCTTGTAGTATTCACCTTCCAACTGTTGAATATTTTTGAGTTCTTTTGTATTACCAACAAAAGCATCACGACAGTAATCAAAATAATCTTGGATGTGATTCTGGTCGAACTTGATGGTTAATATGATCTCCTTGAGGATCTGAGTATACATAAAAGAAGGATCTAATTGATCCAGCTTTTTATTTGATCCCACGAAACTCATGGGTATGGCATTCTGCTCACACTGATGAGCAGCTTCCTTGAGTGCTTCACATATCGGTATAATATCTGTGAAGACACCCTTTATTTTGGGCCAATCTTTAGTCCATTGTTCATGATACTTTTTATTGCCACAAAAGATAAAAATAGAATCAACTTGAGACATATTGTGCACACGAGGCACAATGTGTTGTCCAAGTGATCCTGAAATAATCATACATACCTTCTTATCGACAACTGTTTGAATGAACCCGAGACTTTGATCACCATTTGTATATGTATGAATGTCGTTAACAGCACGGCGTAGTTTTGTGATTGTATTTTGACAATCGTGATTTGTTTCGTCGATGTTACTGTCTAACCAGATTAGAAGGACATTTTGCATTTGTTTGATATTGATACGTTGACGACCTTCTGTATCTTTTGGAGATGTAGATTTATTTGTTGCTGATTTTTCTTTGTTCATTGTTTGCTGTGTGAATGCTTTGAATTGGAGTTGCTGTGTAAAATTTACTAGTGAATTAATAATGAAAAATGGTTCTTTTTATAGGTGTCCACCTTCTTGTGAAATGTTGTTTTGTTCTCTTTAACTATTTTTTCATGTTGCTATGAAAAACAAACATTGAAATAGTCCGCGAAAAAGAATATTTTTATTTGTTTTCACAGAGAGAAACATTGTTAAGTGATGTTTGTTATTTGAGAATCCGCAAGTTGGAAAAAGCTTTTTTTGTATGAGCGGATATTTGATGAATCACACAACTTGACAACATGCATGTTAATGGCAGAGACTTATGTTTTAAAAAAGTGCAAACGTCATCATATGAACGAAAAAAAACTTGATGATGCATCTTTTTCCATCTTCCATAAACTATAAATTTCGAATAAATATGATTGATAGTCATTGTGAGACTTCTTGATGTATATGCAAATGTATGAATATATCACTACTTTTTGTATGAACTAAAAACTACTATTCAACGAAGTCTTCTCTTGTGAAACTAGACGATCAAAAAAGATCTCAGTTTTGTTTTCTTTACGACGATGCAATAATTAATGACATAAAGTATGAAGAAAGATATAAAAAAAATTTACAATGAAGATTTTTTTCTGAATATTTTTTATATACAATTGAAATTTCCTTTGTTGCGAAGTTAAATTATCAGTAGCCCCCATATAATTGTATTGAAATATGCTTAACGACAAAGAAAAGGTACACTCGCAATGAACATATGAAAAAAAAGCCTTATCATGTATTATTCTTTCATAAATGAATTTTAAATTTCAGTTAGATCTGGAAGGAAAGCGTTAGCAGGGATCTAATGATGATCTCATGATTATTTGACTAGAAATATTTAATGTGTACTTAGCGAAGATTCCCATGATAAAAATACAACATACATCGGGTTTTTTATCCTTTTTGTTCATAAATTACATAACTTGATGTCTTCAAAGACCTTTTAAAGATATAAACAATTTTTTTGTTGTCGAGAAGTAGAAATTGTATGTGAGTTGCTTACAAAACATAAAATCAATCCGCGAAAAAAATGATGAGATTTGATAGAAATATTGATTTATTGTGCACATGGTTTTGTTTAGCTTTGTCTGAAGGTATGCAAATATGACAACCATTAGCGATCAACAAAACTAATTCATTGACGACGAACAAAACAAAAAGCAAAACAGTAATGTATTTTTATTATTGTTGCCATCTTTTTTTCTTTCTCACCGATACAGTCAGTGGCAAATGTGTTGGTAGAAGATTATGTAAATAAAAATATTATGGCGATGGATAGACTAAGTTGTAGATTTTTTTTCTTTATTTCTTCACCTCTCCAATTCTAAGACGATAAGCAAAAATTAGAAATGAAACAGAATTATATTCAATTCTCAAAAGAATTTTAAGAAAAATAAGCCACTTGTTACATTTATTGATTAAAACTTTATATTTTTGGAGGTATTTATCTTTTATCATCTAGAAAACATACTTGAAACAAGCAGTTGAAGCAAAGTTGTCATAAAATAACTTGCTGTAGAACTATCAATTTTTCTTATGAATGGTAGGATTTGGGAAGATGCCACAGCGTTATTATTGTGCTAAGCGATATTGAAAACTATAATTCTGAAAAACAATAATAAATATAATTCGACAAAACTAAATGTGGATAAACCCCCCTCCATAATAGAAGACCCTCTCGTAATAAAAGACCCTCCCATAATAGAAGACCCTCTTGCAAAAATAACGTGAAATCCATAATAGAAGACCCGGGTCTTCAAATTAAAAATAAATTTTTAAGTTATTATTTTTTTTCATTAAATTGTCCATATTATTGTGTGTACTGTGCAACGAAAGGTATAGAAGAATTGAAAATATAGTAATAGCTCGTTTATGCACATCTACAATATATTTTCTTGACGTGGAAATAGACACAAATCGACTAGAATTAAAAATCAGAGGATAATCAGAACGAAGATGCAGAAAAATCATATATGAACACACTGGTCCAATTTAACATCAGGAGCAACACAAAATTGAAACAACTCAATTTGCATCAATTTGTGAACAAAAAATATTTGCAGTTATTGTTTGTTTTTTTCTATTTTTATCAGAGTCGGAGTTAAAAAGGGCTGAGTTATAGCTTGAGTTACAACTTTTGAGTTATAAATAATCAACTTTTCCGTTCAAAAGCTAGTTTGGTTATAACTTTAAACTGTGTTTATAACATTTAATCGTGGTTAATGTAAGTTATTATTTTAAATCTGTCATCTGGGTTGAATTTCTATCCCTTTAATATTAGTGAGTAAATGAACCGAAGCCGTATTTTACAATATAGTTCATGCCATTTTATCATTACCTTCTAAAAAATTCCTATTATCTCCTGAAATAAAGTTCAATTTTTAATTAAGAACTATCTGTCAAACAGTGGCTTCAGTTCAGCTACTCACTAAGGATAAAGAGAGAGAAATTCTATCTAATTAACAAAATTGTGATAATAACTTATATTAACCACGGTCAAATGTTATAATCAAGGTTGAAAGTTATAACTACAGTTGTAATCATTTTAACTTTTCAAAATTTCATTTTAACTCCTAGTCTGATTTTTATTTCATATTTATTAAATAATATAATCATGACGAACGATATTGCCTGAAACTTCACAAATTGTGATATTGATTTTTGGCAGTTTACGCTCACAAATTCGTATTAGAAGACTACCCCATAATAGAAGACCCCTTTAAAAGTTTGATCTGCAAAATGCAGTATTAGACCAGGGGGTCTTTTATTATGGAGGGGGGTTTATTCATCTATTGAGCATCGAAAAGAAATTATTAATAAATTAATTATGTGGAGACCTCTTCAAATACACATGAACTCAGCTGAAATCAATGATGTCACTACATCGATTAATTCTTTCTTTAGCTGATAGAATTTCGCTTATCAGCTGTGGCCGCAGAAATCCGGTTATCTCTTCACACTCAGCATAGTTTTAATTATCTTCAGCTGATAAACAAAAGCAATGTTGGGTGTGGGTGTGGATATAGGTGTGCATATTTTCTAAAAGAAGGAATCCCTACACCCACACCCTCAACCATTGAAAAGTCATAATACTGGCCTAGGAATCTAATTAAACTTTAAGCTTATGAGAACTTTTTGTGGTTGAAATGGACAACAGTTCTTACAAGAATACCCATTTAAACTCTACCTCACACACACATTGATCTCGAAAAGGAGGAAAAAAATGCTGTACAGCAAAATGGATCGAGCAACACTTACTGACTGTGGTTATTTATGAATCACTTGCTATGCTGTCTTTCTTGACGTATATGCTCGTAATAGTCTCTCTCCCTTCGAAATGAATAAATGTATGCACAGCACACATAATTCACCTTTTATATATGAAGCTGAATGAATTCTTTTACCTTGGTTTTTAAAAGAATGACAAACAAGATTATATATCCAAATCGATAAGAAGTATTTGTTTTGCTTTTATTGACGATGATATCATGTATCTTCATAGAGTTTCTTTTCTGCTTGCAAAAGGTAACAATAAAAATCTTGAGAAGTGTGAGTGTAGATGTAGATGTGGGTATTATATTCAACCTTTTCTCACAGTCATACATACATCACTGGTGTAACCGAGGGGAGTGAAATGAACAGTTAAATATTTCACCTGAAGCTGTGCCCATTGAAATTTTACTTTTCAAAATTGTTTATATATTTTCGAGTAAGATATTAACTGAATCTTATTCTTCCGTATGAATCGTATGCACCTTTTGCATGTTCTTCTTATGAAGTATGAAGAAGAGAAGAACAAATGGATCGCTTCTTACATTTCAACTTTAAGTTTGGATGAACATGAATATGATGTTATTAGGAAAATATTAGCAAAGTGAAGGACTTGTTACTGTGAATTCAAATAAGATATAAAAATTGTGTATGTAAATGCATTCTCATCGTTCTCATTTTGATGTTTGAATTTACAATGTAAATATTATGAACAGAGACATTAAAAATAGACTTCACTTCTGAGTTTCATACATATTTCATTAAAAATCTTCATTTCATTTTGTATTTTTTTGCGTTATTACTATCTTATTGAACTAAAATTCTTTGACTTATCAATAAAACGTAGGTGAAGTTAGCCTCTAACTGGAGTAAGTCTTGTCTCGATCTACCTTGTAACTTGTTTCAAAGAAGGACTCGACGAGTCCTATCTAATGTTATGCTCAACCTTCCCATATCTCAAAGTAAGATTGACGATTCTTGAGACAACTTCCCCTATGTGAAAGAAAAAATAAAGAAAATATAAACTCTTCATTTCGCTAGCAATGAAGATTTCTATGTCATTATTTTGTTCATTAAAATATATAAAAGAGACGTGAAACTTTTGATTTTCATTCTGATGACTTTTCTTAAACATGTATTTCATGCACTTCTATTTTCTTTCATATTCTAGTAATAAATTGAAGTTAATCTAATACAAAGCTACTAACTGAAAAATAAGTAACGGAATATTCTATGTGAGTCAGTAGAATACAAATAAATTAAATTAAATCACTCATAAAACAACCAATATGATACAATAAATACCATGATTACATGAAAAATATTGTTAAATATGATTCAATTAAATTTATTATAAAGAAAAAAAATCGATGAAAGTAAATTTTTTCCATGTAAATTGGATAATAACACACTGCAAAATACTAATTTTATTTAAATTAGAATTAAAAGATCAATACCCATGTAGAAAATTTGATTCATAAAAATGACTATTAAGTACTTTCAATAGTTGGTTTTTGTCAGAAAATAGTACTGATAAGTGAACTTTGTTCACTATTTTTTATGCATGGGATAAATATATGTTGTAATTGCTATTGACCTATATGTGCTAAGTGTATCTATATATTAATTTCTATTTAGTCAAGCAAATACACATCTATCTTATTTTATCATTAATCATAATC